GGAAGGCAACATCGTTGTTACAATTCATAGCAACATTTGCGGGATGCGACCCACAGGGGCATGCATACTCGCACAAGTGAGTGTTGCTGAGTAGGTCGCATTACAACTTAATATGTATATTAGATAAGTATGAGTGCTGGCTGGTGTATATTCACAAGCAACATTGTTGGCTCTTATTTATAACAGTATTTAAAATTATTACGAGAATCTGTGTGAAAGTTTTTAGTGCAAAGCGTTGTTCGCGAAGATCAGCGCAACGTAGAAAGCTTTTACATGTGTAACTAAAACTTTTAAGTGGCAGTGCCATAAATGGACGCATTGTTGGATGGACTGAGAGTGGATGCTGCAGTGTTTTCATATTATTTATTGAAAAATGCAGTAAATATATATGGTAATATGGTTGAAGTTTAGTGATAACAGCTACAAGTTTTGGCTCTCGGCCAGCTTATAAGTCGCTGTCTTCAAGTCCAACTCACCATAAGGGAAAGAAGTTTTAGTTTGTTGGGTTTCAGAGAGGGGTCAAGTACGAAGTTAGTTGGTTTCATATGAGCGCCTTAGGTTAGGTTAGGTTGAAGTGGCTGTTAGACCTCAAGGCTGGTGAAAGTGGACTGGAAGTACCGCCTCTTCCATCACGTTAACTAATTAGTGCCAGTTATTGTCTGGTTCCGAATTTGTTAAGCGGCATAATGGCCGCCTGGCTGTCTTAGTTATATATTTCAGTAACAGCGATAACAGGTAATTTTAGGCTGTCAATGGCTTCTTGTATGGCCGCCAGTTGGGCTTGAAAGATTCCCAATAGTTCCATGAAGACTCCCCCTACTATTTTGTTTTCCAATTTGTAGCCGTCTCTGTAAAATCTTATGGCGTCTTCAGGTCCCGGTACTCCTTCTATTCACGATTCTCTGCTTGGTATAGCTATGCTAAAACCTTATTTGAAAGTGAGCGTTGGTACACAGTAGTCTGTTTTGCTTCGTAATTGCTGGTTGATAAGAATTACCGCTCTCTAGCTTCTAAGCTCCTGCAGTCCTAGGCCTGCTTTCACAGCATATTGCCTTCCCATAATATCCACGGGTAGCATGTTTACAATCGAATTAATTTCCTAAGTGTTGCGGGAGAGCACCACTAATGCAAATCAGAACTCTTCCCTCCACCTTTTGTAATTTCATAATATTTAATATCTTCCCTAGTACTGGACGACATAACACTACCACATAGTGAAGTATTGGTCTCAACACGGCAATGCTTTTGAACGATTTCCCCTTTCCCTTGCTTTGGACGATTTCACTTTTGGTCGATTTCCCCTCCACAGCTATATAAGGCAACGGTGGCCTTCCGCGCCCGCTCTTTGGTGTTTTGAATTCAGCTTGATGATATTTTGTAGATTTGCTTGGGTTTATCGTGGTCTGCGGAAATTTACCGCTTTCTTCTAGCGCAAGATCATTCGGTCATTGGCATACATAAGCACTAACCATACAGGCTTCCCCTTCCATGCCACACAGCTATGTGTTTACCTCTGCGACCCATAGAAGAAGGGATAGGACTCCCCCTTGCGAGCTGCCCCTTCCTACGAACCTGGTCAATGATACCTTAGGTTAGGTTACTAGCTAGCTAGCCCCTGCGTTGCTTCGTAGATACGATTGGGTTTGAAATAGTTAACATATAAACCACGACTACATTAAAATGCCCATCACTGAGTACCAGGAGTAATGTTAAAGAGCATCGCAGTCCTCTTATAAAACTGTAAGACTTTGCAGGCAGAAGTCTGCTCCTAGAAGACTAATCCGCAGACCGCTAGGGCAGGATACTTGCAGCGGATATGTTCCATTGTCTACTTTTTTCTCCCACATCTCCTGCTGATCCTACCATTAGTCAGAGCCAATTTAAATGCGTTGAAAAAACACCATCCAGTAGCACATTTCTCATTAAGGGAATTAAAGTTCCTACAGCTCTTTGTTCCGTCATCAGCGGTATTCGCCGTCGCAAAACAGGCAGGGGCCTTTAAATCATCCGCAAAACAGTTCTATCGAGTACTCCAAGCGCCGTCTCATTGACAAATTTCAGCGCTACCTTAGCTGGCAGGCCGTCAGCTACTGCAGCTTTGTTGTTTTTCCGTAACAAGATTTGCTATTCGACAACTGCCGTGTGGTAAATGGTTAACAAAGTATGTAACTTTAATAGGGACTTTCAACCACTTCATCAGTTTGCTATCTTCCAAGACGTTAAGTGTTAATTCCAAATATGGTATCCAACAATTCCTGGATCTCTGTTTACATACCGTAAACTAAAACTCTGCGCAGAAACTTCCAAGATACATTGCTTGTTCGTTGATCCACTTGTTCGGTAGCTCGGCACTTCAAGTTGGCCGCTGACAAGCGTGCTTGTCGCGTAACAACAGTATTATGGACTAGTTTTTGTGCAACTATAATTGAGTTCTAAGTACAGTGCTTAAAAATATACAAAGTGCACGCACAAAACACTTGCCGGCGCATTAACATACTCGTATGCATACGCTTGAGGGCCACGACTTTTTGCTCAGCAGTCTGCTGTGTGCTGGTATTTAGCGCACACTTAACCGGCACGTTGGCAACCCATGGCTGCTACACATGTATGTGTGTTAACAATTTGGAGAATATGTACATATGTCTGCGCATGCCAACTTGTTGCGTGGTTACCAAGTAACAATGTCAACATTTTTACATTTGTTTGCTCGATAAACGAAAACAAATTTCTGAGTGAAAATATTTTCAAGAGAAACGTTGACGGGTCTGCAACGGATACATTCAAAGGACATTTATTGATAAAAATCATTTTTTAAACTATCTAAACGATTTACTTATAAATATCTAAAACTATTTCAAAATTTCGTAAACCTACATATGTATCTATTAATTACACGCAATTTACGAAGCCGCCGCAGATTGTAGTTCAAGTACGCTGTCAAAATGCCACCGAAAAAAGGAAAAGGAAAGGGCAAAAAGGGCAAAAAAGATGAGAAGAAAGACCCAAATAAGCTGACCAATGTGGATCGCGCATTCTGCGATCTTACCATCGCCGACCTCAATCAGAAACTAGCACGCCTCCGTAGTCATCTCGCTTCTTTGGACGACAACAATATAAACCTAAAAGAGAAGCTGCGCGAGATCGAAGAAGATCACACCGATGTCGCGGCGCATTTGGAACGCACGCTCGGCGAGCGTAACGAGACAATTCATGAGCTCGAGGAGCGACTAACCGAGATCATTAAAATACGTGAAGCGGAGAATCTACAGTCAGCGGAGAAGGTAAAGGAGCTAGAGACTAAGTACAAGTCTATGCATGACCAACTGACTTCGGAGATTAAGCTCCTCAACGGTAAACTAAACTCGTTGGATGAATTTCGCGTGCAACGTGATATGCTGCTTGCCAAATTTGACGACCAAGAGACAGAGTTGAAAGAGAAGGAGCGCTCTTACGTTGAAATGGTTTACACCATGGAACAGAAGGCTGTGGTCGAGAAGGATGCGTTGAAAAAGGAGGTAGAGACCAAACTGCTGCAAGTATCTGAGGATTTCATGCGTTCCAACGAGATACGCAATGCCGGCTACACACGTCGTCTGATACGTGAGAACATCGCCTTGCAGAAGGAAATTGATATATTGGTGATGTCACAAATCAAAATGCAACAACAGTTCAACGAACAAGTCATACGCCACAAGGAAATGGCTGAGCAGTATGCATCGATGGACCAGCTGAAGAAGCAATTGATACGCAATTCGCAGAATAAGATCAAAATCATCGAGAGGCTCACCGATAACTATGAAAAACTTAAGGCCAAATATGTAGAGGTGGCAAGGTATCGCAAATTATATGATACAGCTGTGAAACGTGACATTTGTGAGCGTTTCAACTTCAAGGATATGTCGAAAAAGATCCGCCACCTGGAACAGCGCGTCGAGGAATTGAAGATGGAAAAATCGCGCTTCATTGCAATACATCAGCAGCACGAAATGGAGATCCAGCGATTGCATGACATTATCATACAAATAAAGACCACCGTGCAATCGGCCATCGACGCCATACACAGTCCGTGTGGCAAGGAGCGTGGCAAGGATAGCGTCAAAGAAAGTATTTCACAAGACGCAATGCGCCAATTGAGACGTCATGATCTGCTCACCCAGTTGATGGAAATTGTGAGTAGTCACTCGGACGAGCTACCGCCAACGCCCTCCGCGCTAACAATCTCACGTTCCACCTCCAGCGTCTATCGTCCCGGCAAAATGGGCTTACTGCCGCGCACCGCTTCCTCATTGATGGAGATCTTTAAGCGCACGGCACACAAGGCCGCCTCTACAGACATTGCTGTGACCGAGTATCAAATACAACAGGTGGAGAGTAAGATTATACCAAAAGCACGTGAGTTAGGTGGTCAAAATTTATTCGATGTGGAAATGGGATCCACTTTGTATGCATCATCTTCGCACGAGGCACTCGAAACAGTGATGCCCGTTGAAGATGCGCAGGCGGAGGATGAGGATGAGGGTGAGTCCAGTAGCGTCGACTACGGTTCGTCAGCTACTCAACCCAGGGACAGACCATCGGTGGTGTCCATTCCGGGTGGCGGCGACGGAACACCGGACACCGGCGAGCGGCTTTCAGTGAGATCTTCGCGGCCGTCACGTCGTTCGGAGATCGGTGAATCTGGATCGCGGCGCGCTACGGAATCAGGATCACGTGTCTTGTACGATGTTGAGTATGACGAAGGCGACGAGGAGTATTCAATTAATTTGTTTTATTAAAATTGTAAAATAATATTTTTTTTTGTAAAGCAACGATATCTGTATAAATGTATGTATGTATTAATACATGTATTTTGCTTAAACTTTAAACTATAAATATACATATAACCTATTTGTAAAAAGGGAAAGAAACAGTTTTATGAATTTGATGCAATATTTGTCTTTCATTCTGTTTATATATTCAAATATATATATATTCAAATCTTTGTTTTTTTTACTACGCAGGGTCCCTCGGTGGAGACCGAGAAATGCGGCAAAGCCATCGCTGATACTTGGGATTGCATTTACGAAAGCAGTGGAGCAACTTTTACTGCCGCCAATCGTACAGAGGTCAGCCAAGAGATCGGACCCGGCTGTCGTTGCGGCTGCATTGTACACTTGGGCTCGTCGAAGTCAAAACGCATTTTGGCCGGTGCCACACAAAGCTGTCCAGGTCGCTCATTTTGGCTTATACAGGTAAGTGGTGGTAGTTTCTATAAAATTGCAACAAAATCAAGTGAAAGCACAATTACTAGTAGAAAAATGATTCCTGCATATCGATGGCTGAGTGGAAGATCAAACTATCTCGGCAGCCAGTTCGAAAACGCCCTATCTCAGAAAACCTTTCAAGAACGCACTACTTCAGAATTTGATTGAAGAACGCCCTATTGGAGAATTTTATTGAAAAACACCCCATCACAGAATTCGGGTCAAATACGGTAGATAGGGCGTTTTTGAATCGAATTCCGAGAAAGGGAATTTTTCAATCACATTTTGAAATAGGGCGTTCAGAAATCAAATTATGAATTAGGGTGAAAACTTTCCTGAGATTGGACGTTTTCGAATTGGCTGCCGAGATATATCGATCTTCCACTCAGGTATCGATACATGGCTTTTTATCAGCAATTATTTATCTTCCTTAACTGAAATAAAATGATGTGAGCGCGCACCCACAGAGGCAACGGATTTAAACCCCAAACAAACTAAGGACCATAAGCCAAGAAGATTGTCCGAGGCGACCTTAGAATTCCTACGATTTGCCTTCCTCGCGTAGCACATTTTTCGACTTCCCCTTATAGCCTGAGGTGTTCGCTTTTTACTTAGTGTTTTCTTGATCTTCTATTGCACCTAACTCCTTGCCTGCCTAAGAACCAGAGATGTTAAAAAAACACGTTTTTCAATAATTGTTTGATATTAAGCGGACAAGGAGGTCCTCAAACCTAAAAGTTGTAAGTAGGCACTTTTCACCAATCGATGCGCATCAAATTATGTTAATACCACAACAATTATGCTACAAGAAAAGTCTTTAAAAGTTGAATTTACGAAAAATTTCATCAATTCGGATATCATAAAAGTTTTGACACAAATAAGTTATTACCACAATTGACATTCTGGTAAAACTGAGCGCTTGCTACCAATCCCTGATATTTTATTTCTTTTCACACCACTTTAATCTATAGAAAAAGCCAGAGGTGGAATTCGATTTTTTTATTATTAGGTTTTATATATTTTTTTGTGCTGGATGCATACAAATGCAGATACATATGTCCATATGCATGTGCATCTCTTAGTAAAAGTCCTGCGCGTATTTCCTATTTTTTACTTATCCTCTAAAATTTCAAATTCCTCCCTTGTGTCCTTTTGCATTCACAACGATGATATGCATATTGAAGCACTTATCTGTTGTTTAATCATCTACTTGAAATGATTATCAAATGAATTGAAGTGCAGACATACATACATACATATCTACTTATGCATATATGCTCTACTGTACACTATTTTTCTGCTTTCATTTGCACTGCTTTAACTTACCAGCATCATTTTTATCCTCTTATGTGCATACATACATACATACATATGTGCATAGCTCTAGAACCGTTTGTCTGCTTGGACTCAGATCAATTTACTTAATTAAAAAGCATAATCGCCCTACTTTGGTGCCATTTCACTTTTTGCCATTTCAGTTAGTTACCCACGGCAATAATCGCATATTTGCAGATATCGCTGTATGTATATGTACATACATACATACATACATATATACACATAAGTACGTTTGTTTTTATTTCAGTTTCATAAGCGTGTATGGATTATGGCGATGAAAATATAAACGAGCTGTCATATGAATACTGCTCGAATGTCTCAATTCGCCATTTAATCCATTGACTTTCACATATCGAAGGAGAGATATCGTAAACTTCAATTACCCAATATTAATGGTGTTCGAACGATAGTACCCAGTTGGGAATTGCCAGCACTGCGGACTGCATAATTACATATGTATAGCGAATGCAATCGATTGGAAAAAGGATGATATGGAAAAGCTGATAACCTTTTGCGAGTATGGTCGCTAGCTAAATTTGCTCCAAATGGATCTACATATATATGCATCTGTACTTTAAATTCAACTCTTATTTTCCAGAATTAGGGGCAACGAAAAAATTTTTATGTAGGTCTATTAGATGGAGTACCGAAGCAATACCGCAATCTTTTCCTTAATTTGATTGAATGTTCTTCTAGAACTAATTCTAGACACAAAACTTTTATTAAAAAATCCTGTAAGTATACCCAGAGCCACAAAAGCATTAATGGCATAGAAGAATGCTAAGAGTCCGAGAACCCTGAGACGATTTTCCATCATAATGGTACAAGCTAAGGCAGGATATGGGACGATAGCTTAGGTATAAAGAACTATCTTATTTATGGCGAAACAGTCCCTCGCAAAGCTTCTGCATTACGGTGCAATGCGCACGTGCTATACTACTATACTATACTACTATACTTCTCTATAGAGCTCTCCCTACTTTCCTCGGATGATATAACGCGGATAATAGTATCCGAGAAGAGATCTAATACAGAATGGTGCATTAAAGCAGCCTGAAGTGCCTCTCTTCTAAAAAGGCATCTCCAAAGTAAGTACTTAGTAGCCAGCATTAGAGAAATCGGATATAGCACCAGAGCTATGATATCGGTGCCTATGGGAAGGTACCCCAGCATATGTATGTCAGGAAATGTTTGCGCAATCATCAGTGTATGTGCGGAGATAAGCTTTAGAAGGAACTATAATGAGAAAATTACTATCCTCAGTGATAGGCAAGTGGAAGGAATAGTATCGCAGATGAAGATGAAGATGAACATGAACATGAATATGAAGTTGAAACTGAAGATGAGGATGATGAGAAATATGACGACGAAAATTATGACAAATATGAAGATGTGATTTCATCGTACAAATACAAAAAAAAATAAAATATATCGTTACCCAGAGGTGAAAAGCCTATTTTTTGAAATCGTACAGGAAAGACGAAAAACCGTCATAACTGTGTATTATCTGTCATTCTGCATCAAAAATTCAAAATTGGAAAAAGTTTTCTTAACTCCTTTTCCCCTCTAGTCAGCAATATGTTAAATAAAACTTATCAGTGACTTGATTCATCGGAAAAATAAAAAATAAAATTGATTTTCTCTAAAATCGCGCTGCAAACATTTTCCTTTCTGCAATTTTTTTCTATGAAATTTCATATCAGCCGTACGTAGGGACTACTTGCACTAAGTTCGTTTTTGTAAAGTCTTTAACACTTCTGTCCTCAATTCCTTAAAGTGCACGCATAAAAAATTGCCATTTTACTAGAACTTCGCAGAAACTGAAGTCAAGTGCAATACTGAAGATATGACTGCATGCATGTACATACATTTCGACGGCTGAGTGGAAGATCAGCCTATCTCGGCAGCTGGTTCGAAAACGTCCTATCACAGAAAATGGCTCGAGAACACCCTGCTTCAGAATTTGGTTGAAAAACGCAAAGCTTATTTTTTTTTTTTTAAATACTAACTTGTAAATCAGCTGCTAAGAAATTATTACGTACATACACATAGTAAGTACATATGTGAATCGCACTCCGTACAAGCAACATAACTTAAAATTTTCCGCCAGGCCTGAATATTTCTGTTATAAACAGAAACACAACTACGAACATATTTACTATATATTTATATTCACATATCCATCGATATCCCAAATGACTAGTCGCCATGTGTTAACTTTAAAGGCTAAATAAAGCAACTTCGAAGTAGAGTGGCAATATTCAGCAGTCAAAATCGCGCAAATAGCAGCAGCCAATCCAATTTGAAACTCTGCTGAGTTGTAAAACAGAACAATTTTACGTTATTTACCAACACATACTTGAAAGCACATCCCTACGCATGTATGTACATATATCCATACATATGTACATACATATGTGTACACATAAAAAAAATGCATGCACGTTCTGCAAGTTTGTTTGGCGGATGTTCTTCTCACCTATTTTGCTCTTACATACAAAATGCAAAAACGCCTTTTGCTTACATATCCACATATCGTATACCTGCACGCAGGTATGTATATATGTATAACATAACATGTGTACATACATGTAAAAGTCGAGTGTGTGCGAGCAGATAGTTGAAAATCCAACGTTAATTGTATGGAAAAACGCCATTTTAACGCATTGCAATTAAGCCATAGTAGCGAAAACGGCTTCGGTGGCGCCACTGGCAGAACGTGTGCAAATGCAACGTACGCGCTTTCACAAACAAGATTCGTCGAATTCCGATATGAATGAATGAACAAACGCACTTGTATAGCAGCAAAAACTATTGAATTGGATAAAAGAAAAAAAAATGAAAGCTACACAAAACTACTAACTCTTGAGCGAATGGAGGCGGAAAAGTGGCACACGAACTCATTCAAAAACCAATATTCAGGTGCACTTGAGAGGCAAAAATGACAGTTCACCCTCAATGCTGATGTGAAAGAGAAAAGTGGAAAAAAGAAAAATGCGAAAATTTACAAAGATGTGGAAAGAGTTTGCATGTACAAAGGGGGATGAATGGGAGGCGAAAGCATTTTGTGCTGCACAAAGACTATGGGTTGAGTGTAGAGAAGAATATTTGTGGGAAAATCAGCTCTTGACATGAAACCTATAATTCTCAAAAGTGGCAAATACACCGCGAGAAATTTTTATTATTTTCCAAACTCACGAACATTAACTATCCAAAGAATTACAATGCAACTTTCATTTAGTGAATATATCGATAATCTTCTTTACTGCTATTGTCTTTTTTTATTTATTTTTTGTTTTTTGTATAAAATACGTATGCATGCACGTATATTAGCAGGAAAGAATATTACTCATACGCCGTGTATGACTTAAGTGCTCATAACTTCTCCATTTACTATGTATTCCATTTGGATAAACAGGGTCTAATTGTATTTATAAAAGATCTTTCTGTTTTACTTTTAATTTTATGATGAAGCATAGAGGCAATTCTCTTTCACCAGTTTCGTACAGGGTGGACCAAATAAGACCTACCTAAATACGTATAACCTCTTTATTTTTTTTAATATTATTGTTATTTTATTTCTGCATGTTATAGTTAGAGGATCAAACGCCAGAAATGATTTCTGGTGCCTCTTACAAAACAATGATTGA